ATTTTAGTAAGGTTTATATTTTCAAATCAAGACTCCAAATTTCAGCATCATCCGATTTCAGCATCATCCCCGACATTAAATATTGAAAAAAAATACGTTCAAAAAAGTTGACATTATTTAGATTCTACCAAAGAAGTCAAGTAATATGTTTGCATATGTGATTTTGCCAAAGAAGTGGGAAATAAGTTCGTCGATAAAGAAGCCAGGTAATAAGTTTGTCGGTCTTTACAAACAAATTTTACCATATTTGTTGTCTCATTGCATATTAGGATTCGGAGATTGAGAAGCTGTCCAATGCCGACCATCTATAATTGAGAAATATTAGCATCATCTCACTAGTCGTTGACTGATATATATATTCGAATATTTACGAAGGTTAACTCTGCACTAAGGTGCTTGCTCTACTATGTAGAAATTCTTGAAACTTGTTATATACCGTATTTAAACAATTTAATAAACGTAGTCGGTCAAAAAAATTATGTGTTTCAAGACAATAATGCTAAAATTCACACTTCCAAATTTTCCCAGAAATAGTTTGACGAAAATCATATTGCGCAACTTCCATGGCCCTCATATAGTCCCAACCTCAATCCTATTGAATATTTGTGGGATGAATTAGAGCGTCGTATATGTAAGCACATTCCTCTACCAAGCGATGAGTCGGAACTCTTCAATTTGCTCCAGGAAGAGTGGTTTAAAATCGATGGTTCAATTTTAAAAAATCTTGTTGAAAGTATGCGTCGACGTATTCTTGCTGTGATTGCTGCTAACGGGTACCCTACACGGTATTAAATTATGTAAATAAAATTTATATATATAATTGCTAAATAAAAAAATTTTGACCCGAATTAATATGTAGTTTGTTGAGAATTCACAAATCAAAAACCTGCAAAAAAAAATGATCGTCATATTGTTACTAAAAAAATCTGGTGACTTATGTCAGGGGAGTGTACTGAAAACTTTTGCTTAGAAGTCAAGACATAGTTTTCATAATAAAATTTTGAGTTATTAGGGTTTTTTGTTTTTTTTACTTTCTTCGATTTGTTTTGGTTACACAAGATCCGGCAATCTGATTGGCCTTTATACATCACCCGAGGTGAAAGTTAGCAATACACTTTTAAGATTAAATGTAATGGTTTTGGAACTTGCCGCATAATTGGTGTAAACACTAAACTGTATTGCAACTTTAAATGACTAATATATTCACATTTAATTTTCTTTTACAGTTAATATATTACTTTCTAAATCAGTATTTCATTTATTCTCTTAGCACCTTGCATGTAAAAATTATAACTATTTTTGCCAATATTTAGAAATAATTTAACTTTTTCTACGAATTTTTGTGGTTCTAAATGTTTTCAACAAAATGTGATTCATGTTTCGTAACTAGTCTTGGTACAGGATGGACCTATTGGTTTAGAGCTGATAGATTTGTGCTTAATTAGTCGAACTATATTTTGGCTAAAAGAAAGTTTTATTAAGCGAGAGTATAGTATAAAATGCATAAAGTAATACACATATACAATATGACGTTCAAAAAACCACTGTAAATAAAAATTTTATAATACCGGGTGATATCACCACGGGTGAAATTAGTTATTCTCATTTAAAAATAAGATAATATCGTTAAATAATTTTATTTTTATATTAATTACTCTGATACGCTTACAAATTTTTATTAAAAGAAGTGTTTTTAATAATAAATAAATCCGAAACAAATAAATATTTGTTTTTTGTTTATCGTGGTTTTCGAAATGATTGAAAATGGCAAATTTTTTTTGGTGAACACGCGAACAGTTTAAAGTACTTTTAAAAAAAAAATAAAACTACGAAGAATAAACAAAAAAGAAGTATATAGAGAATTTTGTTAGGGTTGTAGGACTCCAGTATTATAAATAATCAAAATCATTTCTGGTTTTAGAGAAGTTAGCATGGTAGCGACTTCTTAAAGATAGGTTATTACCATGCTAACTTCTCTAAAACCAGAATATTTTTGATATTGGAGTCCTACAACCCTGATAAAACTTTCCACGTACTTTTTTTTTGTTTATTCTTCGTAGTTTTATTTTTTTTGAAAAAGTACTTTAAATTGTATAAATAATGTAGAATTAAATTGATTTAAACAGCCAATCATACGAAAGTCTTCCTATGGGACTATAGATGACGGTAGAATTCAAAAAGGAAATTATTACTAATAATAGGAGGAAACATTGATTTTACACAACTGATCCTTCACCCGGTGTGCAACATATAAAAAAATTATTTTACAATACCAAATCATTCCGCTGGTACATTTTATGATTATAATCCCACACCATTTTTACTATAATAAAATGGTGTGGGATTATAATCATAACATGTACTAGCGGAATGATCTGGTATTGTAAAATAATTTTTTTATATGTTGCCGTGTGAAGGATCAGTTGTGTAACATCAACGTTATTACTACGTAATCACTTTCATTATTTAAAATTTCCTTTTTTGAATTCTACCTAATCAGGACTGAATCTAAATACATGAAGTCTGATTTTCTCGTGTTTACTAATTTCTCCCTCACTTCACTATTGCTTCACTATCGGAACACTATAAATTGATTAATAACACAGATACAGTCAAGCCTCCTTATAGTCACCCTCTATATAAGTACATCATATAAATTCTCTTTATAATCACATTTATTTTAAAACCAACTATTATAAACATATAGAAAAAAACCTCTTTATAAGCACATCTTAGTAAAATTCTCTTTATAATCACACAAATCTTTATCCCGAGGGGTGTGATTCTAGGGAGGTTAGACTGTACTCCAATATGTGAATAATTAGTAGAACCAATCAGAAGTGGGGGAGACTCGATTTTCTCGGCGACAATCATAACGCTATGACCTATAGAAATCAACAATTTACGTTCTCCGATTGCTAATTTACCTCTTTGGAATTGTATCACTCTTTCGACATTATACTTCAATCATTGTCAAAAGCTATGATTAAAACTAATTTCGGAATAGCTCAAAATGTAAAGGGCGTAAGTTCGTAAAAAGACTTTTATATGATTGGTTGTTTAAATCAATTTAATTTTATATTATTTATACGGTTTAGTTTAAAGTACTCTTTTTTTTTAAAAAAAAACAAAACTACAAAAAATAAATAAAAAAAAGTACGGTATATATTTTTTTATTTATTCTTTGTAGTTTAATTGTTTTAAAAAAGTATTTAAACTGCAAAAAAAATGTAAAATTAAATTGGCAATCATATATTCTATGAGGATAAGTAGTGATGTTTATACTAGAAAATTAAAAGTTGGAAACATGACAACATGTAATACTGACTGTAGATAATCGCGAGAACCATTCTCGATTTTCATTGGTGTTTCTGACAATTCTTGTATGAATATGCATTCACGTTTGCTCAAAACAAGAGTCCTCGCTACACTCGGACAAGATTACGGTACGATTCCCCGAAAGTTATTTACACGACAGGCCACTTACCCGACATCACAAGGGTGACAAATTGCTAAAAATATATACCTGCAGCTAATCAAATGCTAACCCTAACCCTATGTGATGTCGGGTAAGTGACCTGTCGGTTAAATAACTTTCGGGGAATTGGGCAACAACCCTCGGACAATGATACCCGAAATTAGCAAATTGTCCATATGTTCTTAGCAGATCATTAAAGGGATTTATATACTGAGAGATCCATTCACAGATATCTAAAATCACCCGTTACGTTGAGCTTATACGAAATGACAGCACTGTACGCGGCATATCTCTGTTGTAGACTATAAAATGTCAGATCTGTCTTTCTTGTTATTTCACACCTTTGTATGAATCCAGAGTTTATCACCAAGCTAACTAGCCATCCGTTCCTATAACTTTCTTGATTATAGTAACGACATAAGCACTTATGTCATCTGAAAAAAAAAAAAGGTTTAAATCCTCTATAGATAACAAATCCATTAAATCCTTTGAATATAGTTCTTTTGAGAATATAACAATTATTTTCAAAAGTGAAACTAACTCCGTATCTAGTGCTGATTTTAAAGATGAAGGTACAACAAAGGCTGTAGCTTTAAAAACAAATGTTTCTAATGACGATGAAAACTCACTTTATGAATTTATTAAAGAAGTATAAATTATATTTATTTATTCGTGTCAACTATTGTACTATTAATATTCTAAAAGTCATGATCAAATATTTATTTTAAGGTCAAAATTAATTATGAGATCGGTTATCATGAAAATATAATGCCTTTCTTAGGAATCACTCGACAAGGTATTAAATGCTTACGGAAATACTTATTTGTGCGAGTGATGCGAGTAATGCAAAAACCTAATATAGAATTTAATCTAATTTAGATCCTAAAAGTAGATTTTATATGGTTTTTCTATTCGCAAGTAATGGAGACCTTCAATGTTATTTAAATAACAATTTTCATAAATTGGATTGGTTAACTAAAGTTAAAATGGCAAAAGACATTTCTAGTGGGGTTGAGCACTTGCATGGTAAAAATATTGTTCATCGCGATCTTGTAAGAATATTTTTGTTATCTAATTTATTTTAATCTTTGCCATCTACATTAATATAAATTTACCTATAAAATAGCATGATAGAAACATATTGGTGAATTCAGATGGTAGATTGGTGATTACTGATTTTGGTTTATCGAAGCAGTTAGGAAATGATACGTCTCTTAAAAATGCGGGACGTTGCGCTTACTTAGCTCCAGAATATCTCCAAGGTTCAAAGATTAAGCGAGGGAAGCCTTTTGACATTTACAGCCTTGGTATGCTCTTCTGGGAAATATCAAGTGGAAAATCACCTTTCAAAGGAAAACACGATTTCGAAATATATCAGTGTGTGGTAGATCGTGGCGAACGGGAACTAACAGTTGATGGAACACCGAGAGATTATGTAAACCTTTATCGTAGTGCTTGGAATGGTGATTCAGAACTACGTCCTGATATCACTACAATTTTGTGTAAATTAAATAAAGTGGTCGAATATCAATCAAAACCTTTTAAACATCAGTCGCTACTTTCTGATTTAGACGTTTCAGAATTAAGAAAACAAGGAAAATCTTATTTAAATAATGAAATGTTTGATGTGGCACTTATATATTTAAACAAGTCATTAGAAATTGATCCAAACAACATACTTACATTATTTTATTGTGGAGAAGCTAATCGAAGAAATAACTATCTTGAAGAGTCACTTAAGCATTTCAACAAGGCATTAGAAATTGATCCAAACAATGTTTTAGCTATGGCAGGTCGTGGGGTAACATATCTAATGAAGGAAAAATATGATGAATCCCTTGAAGACTTAAAAGAATCATTAAAAATTGAACCAAATAATGCATACGCATTAAGATATTGTGGAGCTACATATTTCAAGATGAAAAAATATTAAGAATCACTCACATGTCTAGAAAAGGCATTAAAACATAATCCCGATAATAAATCTGCACTAACTATTCGTGGAGGTGTTTATGGTGAAATGGGAAGATATGAAGCCTCTCTTGCAAATTTAGATGCAGTATTAAAAGGTGACCCAAATTTTGAATACGGACTGATCGTTCGTGCATTCACATATCGCAAAATGAGCAAGTACAATGAGTCACTTGCAGATTTAGACAAATCATTAGATAATAATTCAGAAAATGCAGAAGCATTAAGAAATCGTGGAGAAACTCATATGAAGTTGGAAAATTATAAAAAATCTCAAAGACTTCAACAGATCGTTAGAAATTAAACCAAATGATTCAAATACATTAAAATTTCGTGGAAGGACACATTACAAGAATGGAGATTTTGTAAAATCGCTTAGTGACTTAAACAAATCATTAAAAATTGATTCTAGTGATGCAGAGGCATTAATATATCGTGGAATAACACAGTACAAGTTGAGAAATTACAAAGACTCACTTGCGGATTTATGTAATGCACTAAAAATTGAACCAAATAATGAAAAGGTGACAAAATATTTCAAAAAAACTAATAACAAGATTTATAAACAAGATTTATAAACCACATAAATCGAATAAATAATGTATCAACATTAGAAGTCATGTACCATACTTGCGCGAAATAACGTTATTTCAAGACACACGATTTTAAGAGACTCATAATTAATTCAGTTGACTATTTTTATGTCAATCAATTAAATTTGCGTAAACTGCTATTCAGTTTATTTTAAAGAAAATTTACTAGTTTACACATAGTGTTTATACACGTATAATTTATTGAATTACAAATTCGTAACACAAACGAAAAGTTAAACCTTCGCTTATAGTTAGGGTAAGGATAGGTTTGGGATTTGGGCAAGATATAGCTTATGCCTAAATTTCACAAGGAATTTTTTTTTTTTTGTTAGAAGCTAAAAGACGGCTTCATAATCAAACTTTTGAGATATCTATATTGCCCGTGTACATACACTCTGTGTACAAATAGAAATTGCCTATTTTAAAAGTTAATAAGAACATTTATATAATTCTTTTATTTAATTTTTAATGAAATAGATTTATTACTAATCATTAGAGTTTTATCTGTCTTACTATATTATTATTTTTTATTAAGCATGTGCTATATAATTATTAATAAAAAACTTTATTATCGATATCAATATTACCGCTATACGTAGATTATTATTACAGCTGTTCTTATAAATGAATGCTGCAGAGCGTAAACCTGTAGCTGATCAAAAAGATTTACTATGGTCGGTAAATACTACCAAGAAAAGTGGTATTATAACTTTGTACAGACTGAACAAATTTAAATTTTAACTAACCTTGTTCTTGTAACAAGAGCCTTGCAACCATTCCAGAAGGCTCTTCTTCTTCTGAGGGTTGTGAAAACTTCTAATCTTCTAAATGATTATACCAACGTCGCAAGTATATGTCCCATGATATCGGTTACAGTCAACACACGATAATCCGAAGTCTCTGGATTATTTGCGTTGTACATTATTAAAGATCTATGTTTTTGCTGGTGGTTTTTTCCTAATTTGTTGTGCCGCGTAACTTTTTTGCCTGTTGTGCTTGTGTTTGTGTGATACTGTTCCCTATTTATGTTTATGTTGTATAAAGTACGTGGGATCGACGTGCATTATTTCCTTCTAATTCCGTAAAAGGAAATTTTCGTTTGTCATTTTTATAGTTACTTCGATACTTCGATGTTTCGATACTAATACGATTCGTTTCTGATATGATTCAGATGCTGATACGATTCAAGAGCATGTAAGCTGTCATCGAGACATTTCGTATGTGTACTATTTTAAGTTAATGCAAAATGCACTTTCTTGTAAATTTGAATGTTTGGTCTTAATTTGTACTTTGGTTTTTTGTTTCTTTGGCATTACGCGCTTTTTTTCTCTGGATTTTTTTCCGGTTTGATTAATTGATAATCGATGATCGTCAAAGGACATGGCGAAAGGCAAAAGAACTACAACGAAAGAATCGTGAACTCAGCCCTCTCAGCCCCCTGGCCAACAAAAATTTACGTGATTTGTCATTCTATGCCACAGCGGAGATCAATTTCATGCTTTGCCACATTCTGAAAATGTGCTCTATATTCATTTACCAATAGCAATTTAGATTCGGATCAGAATATATGGATGTGTAACATCCAGTAAATGCTTTATTTCGCAGGTGATAAGATCAGATCATACTGTACTGTAATCCTACGGCTGTACGGATCACAGTATGATCGTTTCACATAAAAGATTTAAATTTAATACACCAGATTTGAATCTAATGCATCATATTCGAGACGGAACGTTTAATGACGGGAAGGAATCAGTTTTGGCCCAGGAGGGGCCCAAATTGGTGCATTAAATCCAAGACGGAACATCTAATGACTACTTTAAATTTAAGGGTAGGATGTCCGTAGAACATTCTTAAAATTTTACATAGGCAGCAAAAATTCGTCTTTGATAAAACTTTTTAGAATCGTGACTAATTTTCACCAAAATTTTGCAATATATAATTTAGGTTCTTTTCTTCATAGCAGCAAAATTTTGAATACTGTTACTTTTAAAAAAATCCAACTTCATATATTTATAAAAAATCTTGGGCGAACCTAAATTTTCTTAGGTCACACAAAAATTCTGATTTTGATTGGTCGAATTTGTTGTTTTTATTATTCTGATTGGTCAATCACATGATTTAATATGAAAACCACATGATTACTATCAGCTTTGGGCCCAAATTGGTGCATTAAATTCAAGACGGAACTTAAGAAAAATTCTCTTTCCGAAATAAAGTAAGAATAAAACAAACAAATCTATTATATTGCATATGATGGGCGGCGAAGCCGCCCGCATGTCATGTTCTAATTACCAGTTATAAAAATAAAACGTGAATGATATGCCACCCATTGATCATACTTGTATCCTATAAAATAGTATTTGTGTTCCGCCTCAACTTGTCGACTTGACAAAAAATTATTAACTAAGGCCACGCAAAGTTAATTTTTCGGTTTGCATAACCCGCTGACCCAATTTTTCCAAATTTTTTTTTTTTTTGTTTTTTTTTTTTTTTAAATTCCTATTGTGCCAATTATTCCATTTTTGCCATTTAATTTTTTCTCCGGTGTCACCCGATGATAACCTTAATTTTCCGGAAGTACCCGATAGGTCCGAAAAAAAAAAATTCAAAATTTTCTGATTCCATGTTATGCAAACCGAAGAATTAACTTTGCGTAACATTAGATGTGAACATGAATTAATTTAGGCCACGCAAAGTTTTTTTTTTTAAAAAAAAAAAATCCGACCCGCCGACCGGAATTTTGAAACACCAGGTTATGCAAAACGAAAAATTAACTTGGCGTGGCCTAATGCCAAATCACAAGATATATTTTTAGTCAATTCTAGTACACAACTATATTTGATTGAATATATGTCACGCTTTAAACAATGTGATTCAAAACTGCAAGCGGGCGACGAAGTTGCCCGCAAATATAACATTGCTAGTTAATAGTACGATCTTTTCATTGGATTTGCTATTCTAATAGCAAGGTATATATTGATCAGTAACAATTATTTGTATTGCTCTCTCATCTCACAATATTTGGGGGGTATTATTCAATCTAGGTAGGTTTTCTTGAATACTACCCGGTGTACTATATGCAGCGCTATTCGGTACGTAATACTTTTTTTAACTCTACAAAAACATGTAGTCATGTATGCGAAAAGCATGAAATAAAATTAACTATGTTTAAGATGTAATTACATAATAATGAATCTATTTAATAATATCAAACACTTTGAAAACCGATTCTTATTTCAACTCGATAGATATCAAAGACTGAGTTTTA